TCAGATGAGACCAAAATTGAACTCTTTGGATGCCATAATACACGCCTTGTTTGGAGGTTAAATAGCACTGCATATCACCCCAAAAACACCATACTACAGTGAAGCATGGAGGTGGGAACATCATGGTGTGGGGCTGTTTTTCAGCGTATGGTACTGGAAACTTCATATCATTGAAGGAAGGATGAATGGAAAAATGTCCTAAGACATTCTTAATAAAAATCTACTTGATGAAGATGTTTGACCCCATTCCCACAGAACGTACACACACTTTCATTGGACAGGTTGCTATGCAAATTTTCTTATAAATTTGTCCCAGAAAGATAAAGGTGTGGCAATAAAAAAAAAAAAAGTTTCTACCAGGAGTTAAAGTGGTTCTAAAGTCAAAATGCTTTTTATCCTAATGCATTCCCTGCATTAAGGTAGAAAACAGCCCCACTAACCATTCTACCTAACCCCCCCCCAGTGACTCTTGTCACTGCTTTAGCTCTGTCCCGGCTGCAGCACCGCTCCCCTCACTTCCTGGACTCACAAAAGACACTCAGAGCAGCGGCACCTATAGGCTCCCACTTCTGTTTGCCAAACTTCTGTGAAAGGGAAGGGGGGGCATGGCTTACCTGCACTGTGTGTGCCTATGGATGCACACAGCCTGGCTTCGTAACGTGCTTGCACGGATGCCCTCATTGGCTTGCTAAGGAGGCAGCTGGAGCAGAGAGAAGCAGATAGCACCAGTGAAGTTCTTCCAGAAGTGGAAGTAAGGGACTGTTCTGTGCAATATCATTGGACAGAGCAGGTAAGTATGACATCTTAAAAAAATAGCCTTTACTATCACTTTTAAACATGGTGTCACTGTGTCCTTTCTGCAGCTCTATCTTTGATTGTAGAATGATTGTTTCTGATTTCTGCAGCACACCTTATAAAGAGTGCAGAGTAGGAAAACATTGGCTGTGTACAATCTCCTCTTTTATCACTGTGTAGATTGTATGTACAAATCTGTTGTTGCACCTGAGGTCCTTGTTATGTTATGTGTGTTCGGCACAGAAACCAGGCTCATCCTTTGTTTCCGGAGTTGATAGAATTAGAGTTTTTCTCGTGAAGAGTTGTTCTCATCTGTTCACCAACCTTGACATTCCAGAGCAGTGATAAGCGATGGCTTTTAAATAGAATGTTCCTTTCTTGAAGTACAGACTATGCGCTGTTATCTCCATGAATAGAGTAATTTTAGGGCACAAAATAATTGGTGCTAGACGTGAGCACAAGAATGCTGTTGGAAAAGCTTGATATAAACGTGTATGCCTGGGACGCCACACAGAGTATATAAAGAGGAATAGCTGAAGAGTTGTGGGGCCCAAGCTGAATGGGGAATGCCAGGCCTATGTCCCACCAAACTATAGAAACTCTGAGTGTTAGGATAGTCAGTCAATTCGTTATATACATTTATACACTGTAAGTTTTTAATATATCTCTATAGGTGTGAACTATTCGCATCAGTCCCTGTCCCCAAAGAAATCTGACAGTCTAATGCCATTACAAAATATACACATTAACATGCACAGGAAGTCCAGTTTAGGTGTTACCGGTGGAGTAGGAACAAGGAGAGGAGTGGTTAGATGTACACCTGGGCCATTGATCCTGGGTACCCTTGGAAGGTGTACCTAACCATGTCCATCATGTTGACTAAATGTGTTGGTGAACCACTTCTCCTGGAATACTAGGCAAGGTGAAAGAAGATTTTGGTATGGGACCAGGGGTGGAGTGGGGTGGTTATAATGGTGTGGGCATGTTGGCTACGGAGGAGCTATAGGAGTTCTGGATGTTATTGAAGCCCATGACTTGGCACTGATGTTGCAAAGGGTCACGTTGTGTTCACACTAAATGAATACAGATTAACCCATAGTTCTGCTTTAGCATTGTTGATCTACGGCAGGGGCTCCACATTTTCTTGGTAAAGGGTTCTTCAGGCTTTAGGGAAGCCGTACCGTGGCCATTGGTAGTAGAAAATACTCCATTAGCAATGGGAGTTGACAGTATCTCAGGCTTGGCGTTCAGTGGAAGTAAAAAAAATATTACATGGCTCCTGTGGTCAGTAGGAGGAGGAATAGTGTCCCCTCATTGGTGTCAGTGGGAGGAATAGTGCCCCGTCATTGGTGTCAGTGGGAGGAATAGTGCCCCGTCATTGGTGTCAGTGGGAGAAATGGTGCCACCTCATTGGTGTCAGTGGGAGGAATAGTACCCATTCTTTGATAGTAGAAAATACTCCATTAGCAATGGGAGTAGACCGTGTCTCAGGCTTGGTGTTCAGTGGAAGTAAACAAATTACATGGTGCCTGTGGTCAGTAGGAGGAGGAATAGTGCCCCCCTCATTGGTGTCAGTGGGAGGAATAGTGCCCCCCCTCATTGGTGTCAGTGGGAGGAATAGTGCCCCCCTCATCATTGGTGTCAGTGGGAGAAATAGTGCCCCCCTCATTGGTGTCAGTGGGAGGAATAGTGCCCACCTTTGGTGTCATTGGGAGGAATAGTGCCTCCCCCTTTGGTGTCAGTGGGAAGAATAGTGCCCCTTCATTGGTGTCAGTGGGAGGAATAGCGCCCCCTCATTGGTGTCAGTGGGGGGAATAGCGCCCCCTCATTGGTGTCAGTGGGGGGAATAGCGCCCCCTCATTGGTGTCAGTGGGGGGAATAGCGCCCCCTCATTGGTGTCAGTGGGGGGAATAGCGCCCCCTCATTGGTGTCAGTGGGGGGAATAGCGCCCCCTCATTGGTGTCAGTGGGGGGAATAGCACCCCCTCATTGGTGTCAGTGGGAGGAATAGCACCCCCTCATTGGTGTCAGTGGGAGGAATAGCACCCCCTCATTATTGTCAGCAAAAGAAATGGTGCCTCAAATTTTGTGTCAGTGGGAGGAAGTGTGTCCCAGGGGCCAGATAAATTGAAACAAAAAGCCACAGTTTTGAGACCACTGATCTAGGAGCACCTGGAGGAAAGCGACACAGGGAGAACATACAAAATGAATTCTGAAAGTGTCCTTGGTAGGAATTGAGCCCAGTGCAGAAAGGTTTCAATGCTAATCCCAGTAACGTTACTGCCTGTGGGGTTTCTTCATTTATGGCCTAGCATAAAACGGGAATATCAATTTTTGTTACTTGATGCTTGCAAAGTACAAAGAATGTTATATTACAACATCCTGAGATTTTATTGCATTGTTTTTACTTTTAAAGTCCTTTTTGTACAGGACATGTTTGTTCCATATCTTTGTTTTATGGTGTTAGAGGTTTCAGGATTAGCCCCAAGAGTCACCTCCGTATATTACTGCAATCATTTCGCCTTTGTTAAAGGATCAACCCATCCAAAATTAATATTTTAGTAGCAGGTAGAGTGTGGTGGATTAAAGGCTAAGTTCACATACGGAACTTGTTATGTGTTCCACTCGTATTTAGGGTGGAATATTGAACATATTCTAGCTCATTGTCACTTGTTAAAAAGAGTGCGGCTGTGTGAGGCTTAGCCCACACAGCAGTGTTATGCAAAGATTCCTGTGAATGAATAAACTACAAGTACCGTCTGCCACTGCAGTTGGACTGTGGGGCACTGATGAGCGCTCTCGTAGTCCACTGACATGTCCTTCAACTTTCAAACACAAAGACCGTGCATAGGTATGGGCTGAATGCCAGAGGACATGTCTGCTGGATGTTCAGGACTCAGGGAACCCCTGCAGAAAATGGTGAAATTTACAGTTCATGGTACATTAGCCAAACCACATTGGTGGTCAGTAAGAGAAGGGCTTTCTTGCACTAGTGGTCAATGAGAGAAGGGCTTCCTTGCACTGGTGGTCAATGAAAAGACTTCCCATTACAATAGTGGTCCATGGGAAAAATACCCATTTCAATGTGGGGCACTCCATACATTGGTGTTCATTGGGAAGTATCTTATTACATAAAGTGGACACGATCATTGGTGTCAGTGGTTACTTATCAGAGAAATGACAGGAGAAGCTCTACTGGTCATGTTCTGGTGGTATTTGTGCCAGAACTATGTTGGCACCATCAGACAAGAGATCAGTCCACCACTGCTCAAGAGAACCCTTAACAACTTGTGGAAGAACCCTGGTACCTTCTCTTTACAGACAGTGAACATGATCACTGGTGTCAGTGGTCACTTACCTGAGAAACAAGAGGAGAGGCTCCACTGGTCCCATTCCAGTGGTTCTTCTGAGTGGTATTGGTTCCAGAACTATGTGGGCACCAATAGGCAGGTGATCAATCCATCACTGCTAAAGGGAACCCTTAGCAACTTGTGGAAGAACCCTGGTACCTTCTCTTTACAGACAGTGAACATGATCACTGGTGTCAGTGGTCACTTACCTGAGAAACAAGAGGAGAAGCTCCACTGGTCCCATTCCAGTGGTTCTTCTGAGTGGTATTGGTACCAGAACTATGTGGGCAGCAATAGGCAGGTGATCAATCCATCACTGCTAAAGGGAATGCTTAGCAACTTGTGGAAGAACCCTGGTACCTTCTCTTTACAGACAGTGAACATGATCACTGGTGTCAGTGGTCACTTACCTGAGAAACAAGAGGAGAAGCTCCACTGGTCCCATTCCAGTGGTTCTTCTGAGTGGTATTGGTGCCAGAACTAAGTGGGCACCATCAGACAGGAGATCAGTCCATCACTGCTCAAGGGAACCCTTAGCAACTTGTGGAAGAACCCTGGTACCTTCTCTTTACAGACAGTGAACATGATCACTGGTGTCAGTGGTCACTTACCTGAGAAACAAGAGGAGAAGCTCCACTGGTCCCATTCCAGTGGTTCTTCTGAGTGGTATTGGTACCAGAACTATGTGGGCACCAATAGGCAGGTGATCAATCCATCACTGCTAAAGGGAACCCTTAACAACTTGTGGAAGAACTCTGGTGCTGGTCTATAGACTATACAAATAAAGAATGTGAGCTAATATATTGCATGTGAGTTTTGGAGTGTATTACGTTTTGTTATATAACCAACCCTTTATGATCTCTGTGCTTTGTCTGCAGGCTGCCCACGTGGTGAATTTCAGTGCAGTAACAAGTTGTGTATTGCTACCAGTTTTGTGTGTGACGGTGTGGATAACTGCGGTGACAACAGCGATGAAGTAGATTGCTCTGTAATTACCTGCAAAGCAGGACAGTTCCGCTGTGGGAAAGGGATCTGCATTCCTGAGAAATGGCTGTGTGATGGACAGGCTGACTGTGCAGATCAGTCAGATGAATCTGAGGATCGCTGCGGCCTGAAAAGTCAGCCTCAGGCGGTGACACAGTGCGGGGCACAAGAGTTTCGCTGTGGCAATGGCAAGTGTATCCACCTGAATTGGAGATGTGATGGGGACGAGGACTGCAAGGACAAATCTGATGAGAAAGATTGCCGTAAGTACAATGTAAAGTCCTAGGGACTGACTGCATGTAACAGAATATACTTTTCGGTTTAAAGGTTCTGTGGATTAAAGTTGAACTCCATACAAAGAGGTAAATGCACAGGGTAAATACATACCGTAGGAGTGAAGTGTTTTACTCGCCAAAGGTTTTTAATTCTGTCAAGCCTATGTTGTGATCCACACACCTATGCCCCACTGCGTAGCCAGGCAAGCAACACCACTATATCCTATCACAACATAGCAGTGTTTTGTGTGACATGTCTGCTTTATTTGACAGTAAATAGGCTCATCAGACTGATCATGTATCCTCTAAGCAGGCTGGTAACACAGGATCCAAAACTAAAAAAAAATATCAAGTCACCTGCCTGTTTGTACAGTGTGCTACAAGTATGTAAATCGCAAGACAACTCTGACAGAATTTAAGAAATGGGGGGAAAAAAAATTGTCAGATGAAACTGATCACGTATGTATATAAAATTTGTGTACTTGCTCATTAGCTTGGATTTTCTGCTTTATTCCTTAACGGAAATTTTTTAATTTAGCAGAATTTAGTCAACCAAAAAGAGAGATGCTGACCGTGCAAGGTTGGAAAAATATCCTCATGAATTTTAATAAAAACATATTTTATTCTTAAATGCAAAAAGCTAATGCTGTGCATTACCACAGTACAGGAGATGACCAGAGACTGCGGACACAGTACAGGAGATGACCAGAGACTGCGGACACAGTACAGGAGATGACCAGAGACTGCGGACACAGTACAGGAGATGACCAGAGACTGCGGACACAGTACAGGAGATGACCAGAGACTGCGGACATAGTACAGGAGATGGCCAGAGATTGCGGACACAGTACAGGAGATGACCAGAGACTGCAGACACAGTACAGGAGATGACCAGAGACTGCAGACAAAGTACAGGAGATGACCAGAGACTGCAGACAGTACAGGACATGACCAGGGACTGCGGACACAGTACAGGAGATGACCAGAGACTGCGGACATAGTACAGGAGATGGCCAGAGATTGCGGACACAGTACAGGAGATGACCAAGATTGCGGACACAGTACAGGAGATGACCACTGCGGACACAGTACAGGAGATGACCAGAGACTGCGGACACAGTACAGGAGATGACCAGAGACTGCGGACACAGTACAGGAGATGACCAGAGACTGCGGACACAGTACAGGAGATGACCAGAGACTGCGGACACAGTACAGGAGATGACCAGAGACTGCGGACACAGTACAGGAGATGACCAGAGACTGCGGACACAGTACAGGAGATGACCAGAGACTGCGGACATAGTACAGGAGATGGCCAGAGATTGCGGACACAGTACAGGAGATGACCAGAGACTGCAGACACAGTACAGGAGATGACCAGAGACCGTGGACAGTACAGGACATGACCAGGGACTGCGGACACAGTACAGGAGATGACCAGAGACTGCGGACATAGTACAGGAGATGGCCAGAGATTGCGGACACAGTACAGGAGATGACCAGAGACTGCGGACACAGTACGGGAGATGACCAGAGACCGCGGACACAGTACAGGAGATGACTGCTGACCTTTGAGGGGGGGGGGGGGGGGGGGGGGGGAGCGGGTACCTGAATTTGACAGGTACCCGCTCTTACTTCCGCGGAGTTGTTCTTTGACCTTACCTGTTCCTCTATCCAGCGGCGTGCTGTCTTCCCGGCTTTTGTAGTGTGGGCGGCTCGGCTTGACAGCCGGGTGTCCAGTGCGCATGAGCGAGAAGCGCTGCGCTTTGTGATTGGTCCGGCGGCTTCTGGGACCTGTTGTGTCCCAGGTGCCTCCTTACCATTCACAAAGAGCACCGCTTATTGCGCATGCGCACTTGGCACCCGGCTGTCAAGCCGAGCGCCCACACTATAGAAGCCGGGAAAGACAGCACGCCGCTGGATAGAGGAACAGGTAAGGTCCTGCTGCAGAGCTGAGTGGCCGGCCCGGTATTCTGACACGGCGGCGGTGGAAATACCGGACCGGCCGCTCCATATTCGCTAAATAAGACGCACTGACATTTTCCCCCCTTTTTTTTGGGGGTAAAAAAGTACGTCTTATGGAGCGAAAAATACGGTACATACTTGACTTTATAGTGGTTGTAAACCCTTACATATACCCAGTGAAGTGACTGGCTTCAGGTGATACGCAGAGATGAAACAAATCCTCCTACATAAGTTGTACCTGTGTATCTGCAGTTCTTCCTTCTCTACATATGGTCAAAGTGCAGAATTTATAAAGCATTTTAAGAGTTCAAAAAAAAGGGGATGGAGAGCTGAAATTACACATTACAGAGCTCAGTAATGAAAGCTCTGAGAGCTGATTGGAGGGAAGGGACACACACACACATACATCACAGGAACAGAGTTGAGGCTGTCAATCTGCTGAAGGTTCCTGTCCTGTCACCGTACTTCTCTTGGTGTCAGGAAAATTGTCAAAAGAGACTGATGCTGATGAATGAAGCAGCAGACAGAAATGGCACTTAGTGCTCTTAAAGCAGTAGTAAACCACAAAAAATAAATGTAAAAAATCCTCCTCCCTGCAAGTTAAAGTGGAAGTAAACTCCCACTGGACACTTGTACCTACAGGTAGACTTATAATAAAGTTTACCTGTAGTTACAAGGAATATCTCCTAAACATACACAGTTTAGGAGATATTCAGTGTCCCTGCAACCGATGATGTATGCGAGCTGAAGGAACGGCATGTGCAGGAGTGACATCACCGTGCTTGGCCAATCAAGTGGCTAGAGCCAGCAAACCCAGAAGGAAGACTGGGTGAGGATGGAAGCCCTGTCAGCGGTGACAGCGTGCCACTGGAGGGCTTCGTTGTAAGGTAAGTCTTTCATAATGTGCTAATGTGCTTTTTATTGGCGGATTACTACCGCTTTAGGAGCATAATGTGCTAGTATGCATCACATACTAGCATACTAGAAAAGACTTACTTGAAAATGAAACCCTCCAGTGGAGTGCTGTCATGGCTCCCTGCAGCTCCATCTTCCGGTCATCCGGTCTTCATCCGGTCTTCCTTCCTTCCGTGGTGACGTCCGTCTTACACATGTGCGTGGGAGTCTCTGCCGCAGCACGCCGGCCATTGAGAACGCAGTATGCGTGCACCGGTGACATCACCAGTGCTGCTAAAGTAAATATCACCTAAATGGTGCACTTTTACAGTACCTATAGATAAGTCTTACCTGTAGGTAAAACATAAAAAAAAAACTTTACTACTGCTTTAATTGAGACAAATACACACAATAGAGGGATATACTTTGTTTATATTTCATGTCTGAGGTTTACAACAACTTTGATTGTTGGTTACCATAAATTACAGTACATTAACTATGTGCACAGTAACCTATCAGAGCCAGTCAGCATTCAGTTTACTGTAGTTAGATCAGTAAAAGGTCCATTCTGATTGGATGATATGGCATATATCTATTATATTTTGCTTTGTCTAATAAAATACGTTTTTTTTTTTTTTTATAAGCAGTCCCTTTAAGGCTTCATGCACACTTCCAGGCATTCAACGTAAACTGTAGGCATCAATCCGCGCCCAAGATAGACAGCTGCAGCATACAGATGCCCATAGTAACAAGTGGCTGTATGTGGGTATGCTCCATGCTTGTGTAAATCCATGAACACAGCTTTGGTGCATATAGGGATTTTTTATGTTGTAGCTGTTCCTCCCAAGCATGAAAATACTCAATTCATGTTGGATGCCTGAAAATGTATTTTACCCAACACTTACATGATACCTTTTGCAGGCGCACATGTGCCCTGTCCTACTAGATGAGTGATTTATACATCTGCTGAAAAGCAAAAACACATCAGTCTTCTAATTACTGTTGTATGACTTTTATAAAGGTAACACTACTTTTGCCATTGGGCATTAGAGATGATGTGGGACAAAACTTGCATTGCTCCCGGGAATTTCCTTTTATTGAAGGTGAATAAGGTTTTACATGTATTATTCTTGCAGCTGTTGTGACCTGTCGTCCTGATCAATTCCAGTGTGGAGATGGTGCTTGTGTCCACGGCATGTATCAATGTAACGGAGTCCGAGACTGTTCAGATGGTAGCGATGAGACAGGGTGCAGGACAGGTGAGCCCATCTTAAGACTTGTACTGCCCAGAATACTGACTGGAGTATTTTATGTAGAGTGATGTATCAGAGTTAGGGTGTCATAAGCGAGCACCCAGACATTTCTAAACAGAGGTGATCATAGGAGGGGAAACTCATCAGTGCAGTATGTCCCTTCTAACATGTGCCTGTTGCTGCTTATAAATTGATGACCTGATATTTTTATCTCATTGCATTGTTAATATAATGATGAACATACAATCAACAAAATAATACTTTGACGTCATCTTAGTGCTCAATATATATTTTATAATATAGCACAGCAGCTGTGATATATTTAAAACGAATATATTACAGCTTTGTTTCTGTATAAAAGTTTGCAAATAAATAATTGTTATTCATAAATTTAGGCGAGATGTATTCTGCTGTCTTTGGTGAAAATAACCCAAATTAGGATGTATTTTTTAGTTTGTAGGAAGGTTATAGAGTTCACAAACTATGGTATAGATCTGAATATTGATCAATCCTGGAGTACTGACGGCCAATCAGGTTTCTTGAGGTCCAAGAATGTCAGAATAGTACAGATATCCCCCAAATGACTCCTTTTTGCAGAGTAGACAGTCCGACGTACTTCATAAGAGGCATGATGAGTTTTTTGAAGTTGTATTTTTTTTGTCATTTTTCAGAAAATGAAAAAGATTATTTTCACTATTTTTTTTTTACATACTGTCACCAGTGCAGTACAGCGTCGTCATATAACTGGCATGGCGGTGATTAGGAACACTGACTGGTGACAGTATGAAAAAAAATTATAATTTTTTTTTATTATTTTTTTACATTTTTTTTTCTTTTTTTTAAGATTTATTTTCATATTGTACTATGACCAAAGTAGTACAATGTTACCATAAACATTGTACTACTTTGGGAAAGTGATCGGTATTTTTTTTTTTTACACAATTAGCTTATAGCAAAGAATTACTTTGCTATTAGCAAGCATTTACTTGAATGACATCGATTTCATTCAGGGGTTTTTTTTTTTTTGTGCTTAGCTGTGATTTGGCCACGGCTAATCATATGACGCAGCTGGGCTGTGATTGGCCCAGCTTGTGCATGTGATCGCTGTGACCATTCACAGCTAGACACACTAGTATACAATGGATGGCATGAGCGAGGCCATCCATTGTATACAACTGTCATGTGACCTGCTGTGATTGGTCACAGCAGGTCACATGGTACCGGCAACGGGGCCGGTACTCAGATCTGTCATCGGCCGTATCTGAGGAACACGGCCGGTGACAGATTGCGCCGCTGCGCGGCTCTGCAGGTGCGCAAACTGCGCATGCCCACATATGGCGTCCACCCAGAAAGGTGAGGGTTTTTGCCGGCCGCCATTCGGCCATAGGCTGGGCGGGAAGAGGTTATATAGCGCTGTCAATTTATGCAGCACTTCACATATATATATGTTGTACATTCATATCAGTCCCTAACCCTCAAGGGGTGTACAATCTAAGGTCCCTAACTCACATTCATACATACACATACTAGGGACAATTTACTGTAGACAGGAGCCAATTAACCTTCCAGCATGTCTTTGGAGTGTGGGAGGAAACCGGAGTATCCGGAGGAAACCCACGCAGGCACTGGGAGAACATGCAAACTCCAGGCAGGTGGTGCCGTGGATGGGATTTGAACCAATGACCCTAGTACTGCCAGACTGAAGTGCTAACCACTTAGCCACTGTGCTGCCTGTGCATTTCTTTACTAGTGAAGTAAATGCCACATAAACTGACAGTGATTTGATATTTTGAATATCGCATGAGATCATTGGGAAAAAATGTGTCTCGCAAATTACCTCATGTGATATTCTTTAGTGAATTGAGCCCTCTATGTAGTGGCCGAAATCCATTTTTTTAGGCTTTTTCCCATCTGTTTTCACTTGATCCAGCCAGTAATACACCCCCTGTATTAGAGTGCCCCGCACTCTGGATGAAGGAGCACAGATACACCTTTGGATAGCAACATTGTTGATCTGGGGGGGAGTGTTAGATGTACTAGCAGATTTAGATGCCCTAACAAATTGAAGCCAAGCTCCATCTAACACTTTATAAGCAGTTACAGCAAACAGTTTTTTTTCTTATTGAGATAAAGGTTTTATATAAGTGCATAAAAGCTGACCATTGTAAGCACCTCTGTTCTGTTGAATAACAGACTTACTGGCCAGATCATCAAGTAAAAATAAAGGAAAAGCCTAAAAATGAAAACTAATGCAGCCACCACATCTAAGAATTGGTAAGCTGCAATATAATATTTTCATTGGGGTTTAATGCTGCTTTAAACTAGATCCCTTTTGCTTTATATCACTGCTTTTCCAGTACTGGAAAATATTTTTGAAAACTCCTATGTTGTGGGGTTTGTATTCCAGCGGAAGCTCCTTGTGATACAGATGGAACCTTTCAATGTAAGAGTGGAGAATGCATTGACGTCCGTAAAGTGTGTGATTCTCGTCAAGACTGCCGGGACTGGTCCGATGAGCCCCTAAATGAATGCGGTAAGCAACGCACCCAGTCATATTATTGAACTGTCATAATATAAACAAAGTATTTCCAGGGAAGTGTGCCTGGATTGTGGTAAGCACTTTCCTGTGTACTTTGAAGGACAGGTCTGCATGTGCATGAAGGTAATCGTGAAATATCAGGACCGATGGACAGCCACAGGATGAAATGTAGATTTCTGATGAATATGAACAATTTTCTGTTTTCTAAAAGGAGGCACAAAGTGTAATTAGACCCCAACCTGAGCAGTTGAAGTGAAGTGATAGTACCAACAAGGTGTTTGAACTAATCAAGGCTCCCAAAATCATGCCCCACAATGTAGCACCTTGATGTACAATTTTGATAGCAGATATTGTAGAGTTCCCCTTTAAACTGTAGCATTTCTAACAGTATCTGCTTGCAAGGTTTTTGGCTTATCTTCCCCCCTCATTTCCTGTGTGTGATTTGTACCAACTGGTAGCTGGGATTCTTATCTGCAGCTGCTGTCCAAGGTTATTCTGCAGAGTTTAGAAAGCCTGTTGAAAGTAATAGAAAGCGAAAGAAGAAATTAATGCCTTGCGACGTAATCACTGGTATATACGCTTGTAAGACGTTTTCTATAACTCACTTACCAGATGAGAGCACAAGCCATCTGTTGAGTCAAAACAGCGCTGTTTTTAATAAATCATTTGTTTTCCTCAAGTCTGTGTCTGGAGTTCTCTGGTTTGCCAAAATAGCTGCTACACAATAATGAACAAAAATACCACCACGCAGGGGCGGACTGACAACTCATGGGGCCCCCGGGCAATAGGGGATCATGGGGCCCCTGTGTCCTTGCCCAAACTCAAAAAAGCCTATGAAAAAGGTACCAGGGGCATCTCATGGGGCCCCCTACTGACCACGGGCCCTTGGGCAGTGCCCAAGTTTCCAAATGGTCAGTCCGCCCCTGCCACCACGTTCACTATTTACATGGTAACATTTACAAGGAGATCCCCCTTCCATGCTGAGCCACTTCCTGCTGCGTCTGCATCCAGATCCATGTATCTACTCCTTCCTGCATGTCAAATTTTGAGATGTGACTGTGTCGCCCCTGCTTCTGTATCCACTTTTATGGGCTGCCTGCATGCAGCTCTGTATTGGATGCACATGCAGCCAAGAGCAGCTCAGTGCAGAGGATGTGTCTCACCTCTCAGCTGAATGAGCCCTCAGTGCGGTGCAGATTGAACCTCAGATTTCACAGCTAATTGGCACAGTAGTTGTTCAGCAGTTCGTGTCGGGTTTACATCAGGTTTAGATCATGTTCAGGTCAGGATTTTATCCTGTTCACAATTGATAATGTGTAGTTTAGAAATGGTTCCCATTGAAGTCAATAGCCTGTAATCCGCACCTGAGCGCAGTGCTCAGAAATTGTACAGGCCTTTTTTTCAGTCCACACTGAATCCACACCACCAGTGCACCAGACATATGTGAACAGGCGCCACAGAAAGCAATGTTATTTTACACGTCATGCAGATTGGATGCGGTTCAAACGACTCAAAACTGAACTTTGGGCACCAGCTGTCAGAATACAATAGCCGTCACTGCAGATTTGACCTTCCACGCCGTATAGTGTGGATGAAGGAATCTGTTGATCTTTTTTTTTTTTTTTTAACAAAAAAAAAAAAATCACGTATGTACAACCAGCTTTAGGATGTATGTTCTTTTCAGAAGGAGAACTTGTAAAATGAGCTTACTGTCAGCTGAACTTTTTAAGCTAGGATGTGGTTAGATTGGTTTCCTGTCTGTCTGTGTACCCTAGCCATTATTTATGGTGAAGGTCATTGAGGAGAGAATTAAATATTTTTTCTTTTGAGAGAAAAGAAACTATATAGCGCATGTATCCACGTTTGCTATTGTCCATTTTAATGCATTTACAGGCAATAATGCCGCCCAAACGCCTCCTGAAGGGACCCTGCCCAAATGCACCGGCAACAAGATTACTTGCTGGCTGATACTGATGGGGCAATGCTGCAATATGAATAATGAAAAACAATATTAATATCAATTCGATATCATCAACCCTAAAGGAAATTTAAATTAAGAGCTAAACGCACTTACTATGAGTGCGGACCGATGACCACAAGAAATTTGGGTGAGAAAATATTGATGGCCTGATAAAGATCAGGACTGGGATGGAAAAAACAACCCGCTATGGGGCAATGTACCTAAAGGAAAAAAAAATGTGTATAAACATTATAATAAAAAAAAAAAAAAGGGGGGAGAGATTAAATAAGTAGATAAATGTTGCAATAGTTAAGTGAAATATGTGATAAACCCACTAGGTCTATCCAACGAGGCACGCTTGATGGCTGTGAGCAGAAAAATTAGCTCATTAGCCTGGATTAAATACAGCTAGGGTGGGTTGAAAAAGCTTCAATCAGCTGCAGGCAAAACTGAGCTCAATCAAAATGGACCAATGACCAGGTCCGATCGAAATATGAATGACCCCTCCCCGGCCACGTGGCGAGCAGCGTCACCATGTCAATGGCGTAATGACGTCACGCCGCCGCATGGAGACAGACTCAGGAACAAGGGATGGCCAGGAAGGAGTGAGGACCAAGCCTCACTCTGATGATAAGGGGTATCGTCCCACGGACCCAGTCAGAAGCTGCCACCAGCCCCTGGCTTGAATAAACATTTTCCATTATTGATTAGATTAGTTTTAGCTGTGAGGGAGAAAATATGCTGATTTACAAGAATTATTGAAAAACATCATAAAACAAGAAGAGGTGTTTAACTCTTTTCTCCCACACTTATGATACATCTGTTGTTTTGCTTAACAAATCTTACTTAGGCCCTGTTCACATGGATATGTTTCTGCTGTCATGCATTTTTCTTTGTGTTTTTTTTAATGTTTGTTTTTTCATGTTTAAAATGGTTCTAAAGGCAAAAGGTATTTTTACGTTAATGCATTCTATGCATTAAGGTAAAAAAACCTTCTTGGTGCTGCTGCCCCCAGCCCCCCCCTTATTCTTACCTGAGCCCCATCTCTATCCAGGGATGATCATGGGAGCAGCGACTCTCTGGGGTTTCTCTCTCTTCATTGGCTCACACAAAAGCGGGAACCATTGGCTCCTGCTGATGTCAATACAGTAACGGCCAGTGAACCAATGAGGAAAGAGCGGAGTCGAGCCACACTCTGTGTCTGCATGGACAGTGTCCATTCACAGGAGCGCGGCTCAGGAGTGAGCCTGCTCAAGTGCCCCCACAGCAAGAGGTTTGCTATTGGAGGCACTTGAGGGGGGAAGAGCCAGCGGGGGACCCAAAAAGTAGAGGATCGGGGCTGCTCCATGCAAAACCGTTGTGCTGAGCTGGTGAGTATAATATGTTAGTTTTTTTTTTTTTTTTTTTAATTAGAACCTTTAGAATCACTTTAAGGCCATTTTCATACATCACCACTTTTGGCTTTAGCGCATGAGGTTGAGTTTCCCATAGTGACGACAGGAGGGAATGTGTTTTCTGCTTGAAAACACATGGCTGATTTACATTTTCCTTAGGGGGTATTTATCGAAACTGTAGCAAACAGATCTGGAGCTGTTGTGCATGTCAAAATCCGCTCTAAGCTTTATCAGTTGCTAAACTCAGGTAGGGTGTTTTATGATAGAAGAGACCCTAACAGTCTTTTCTGTCATAAATGCTTCTCCTTGCCTGTCAACTGTCTTCTATGCTGAGCTGTGCATGTGCAGTTCAGTGTACATTAATGGCACACGATCTGTGCTGTGATGATGTGGTTCCCATTCCCATGCACAGGAGTGATGCCATAGCAGTACCTGGGAGGAAGACCAGGCACCCCATATTAGGTGGGTAGGGATCAGTGAATTGGGTGAGAGTGATGGTTGTGGTGTTGAGGGATGGGGGGATGATAAACTATGCAATTTTTTTGTAGCTTTAAAGCTGCCATAGATTGATTAAAATGTGGAAGGTACAGAATACAATGTCTCAGTAGGGAGGATTCCTCCATTTATCTTGGATCTGTGGATGGGGGATTGCGTTTTTTTTTTTTCATTCAGCCCACTAGCTGGTCAAAAAAAAAAAAAGTCATTTATGGCCAGCTGTAGACAGAGGTAGGGCAGATATTTGGGACATATAACTGAGATCTTCAATAGTTTTTTGCCTATTAGATATACCTCAAACTCTACCCTTCTTCTAGGTGTCAATGAATGCTTGACCAACAATGGAGGATGTTCGCACATCTGCAAAGACATGAAGGTGGGACACGAATGTGATTGCCCAACAGGCTACAAACTGATAGACAAGAAGACTTGCGGAGGTAAGGGTTACACATGCTGCTTTTAAAGTCAGAAACATTATTGCAACTTCTGCAGCATCTCACTGGTCACAGATTGACTATTCTTTATCACACAAAAACAGAGGCCTTTTCTGTAAAATACTGCAACGATCAATAAAGAAGTGCAATATCCAGTAACCCAAAGCATCAGTTCAAGTCAAATGAAACTGAATCCTGTTTAGCCGCTATATGTTACAGCATTTTACACACTGTCCCAGTGAGTAGGGTGAGGTGAAGGATCAAATGGATCCCTGTTGACACACGGTGATAGCCAAAAAGGTGATGTATGGTGATATCCAAAATTGGTAAAAGATTGTGCACTCACCAGATGCACAACCAATATGCGCATGTAAGAGATAACCCCTCTCAAGGTATGATTCCAGGACTCATCAAAGGCAAGATCTGGTCAATCTCTACGATGTAGACCCTCAGCTGTCATGCATGGCTCTGCCCCCTATTGCTCTTTGCTCTGCAGGTAGTTGGAAGCTCACCAGAGAGCCATCCTTTAAGCTCTCTTTGTATCCATGTAGTATAGCCTGCCCCACATCTGTATAAACACCACGCATTAGATCTGCAGACAGTCCTTCATTAGCCAGGTGATGATGTCTCAAGCCCCTTGGGAGAGAATCAGGCACATGCATCCACAGTGAATGGCAATCTAAAAATGGCGCCAGATCTTGCCTTGATGAGTCCTGGAATCATACCTTGAGAGGGGTTATCTCTTACATGTGCATATTGGTTGTGCATCTGGTGAGTGCACAATCTTTTACCAATTTTGGATATCACCATACATCACCTTTTTGGCTATCACTGTGTGTCAACAGGGATCCATTTGATCCTTCACCTCACCCTACTCACTGGGAGATTGTGAACTATATATTTGTGTGGCAAATTGAGACTATAAGGGGCATTATAACAATTATACCTGACCTGCGTTTTGCAGTGATATACTCTTGCACTTTGATATTTTGCATGTTTAATATATAAGCGCTGCACCTTTCTATATGTGAATTTTTGGAGGTTGTTTTTGGTACCTTTTGTGTGTTCAGCGGCTTTGTTACCTTTAGCGCTCACTTATACCTATTTTTACAGCATTTTACACACTGACTTACTGACTTGCTATTAGGTGTTGCGTATAAATTTTAAAGCCGGAGGAAATTGGAAATGTTGTCCACAACAGCCAAGTTAAAGCAGACTTTGCAGTAAAATGGAGTTTCTTGACTTTATTTTTCTTTATTTTCACTCAGCATGTTTCTAGAACATTACTTAGAGTCTCCAGTCATTACATTTTTTTTTCTGAAAGCAGAGGTCCTACAGGATAGAATGGAAAATAAAATAGTGATAGTTGTAATTTTATTTTACATGATATTTGCACAGCCATTTACCAAATGCAGATTTTCTGAAAAATAGACTAATTTTCCATGTTTTTACACATAAATTTTAGTGCGCACAAACACAATATAATACCCAATTTTTTTGTAAAGTTTGATGTTTTGTCGAGTAAATCAATACCAAACATGTAAAGACTTAAAACTGCTTGCACCCGAGAAATGGTGACATAAACAATACTTAAAACTTTTCATGTACGATGCTCTAAAAGCCTTTACAGCTTATCAATGCAGTGGTAATTATTGTAAAATGCACAGGGAGGCTGCTGGGGTGCCTTTACATTTTTTTTTTATTTCAGTAAGCAGCCAATCAAGCACAGATTGTGGTTGACAAGCTGTCTTCATGGCTGTAACAGCCAGGGAATAACATCTCTGAAACTGGAAGTGACAAAATCATTGTCAGTTTCATTTTCTTTAGTTACAGAGGGGATGGGAAGATCGATGTTCCTCATTCTCCTCTGTGTGAAGGCATCTTGGTCCTTTACAGCTATCTTAGGCTTTCTGAAGGAACAAAGAGGAGTGCTCGGGAACCACTGCAGAAAGTGGCGGAAGGGGGTGATACAGCCCTTCTCAGTACTGTTAAAATGATTGCTGGCTGCAGCCATGGTCTTGGGATAAGCCCTTGCTGCCAGGCCGTATATTTATATGTACTGCAGTCAACAAGTGATAGAACAGGTCCATGTATAAGACTTTGCCCATAGCAACCAACAAAGTGCTTCCTTTTTACTAGCCCATACTGGAAAATGTCAGATTGGACCTCAAAGTGGATCTTGCATGTCAGTGCCAACTCCCACTGTAAAGAAAAAAAAAAAACACTTACAGAATGTATGTTCAAAATGTACCTGCAAAGACAAATTACATTTTATACTTCTCTGCCCCTCATCTTCCATCCACAGCACCTAGACAATTGATGTGCGGTTTCTGGTGAGATCTTGAGGAATACAGAGCAGCCCAAATCTCATGATGTTCTTGTAATGGACTGGAATACCTTCTCTTGAGATTTCACCTGCTTTGCATTCACCAGGAATCTTCATTGCATTCAAAGTACAAAAATATAAAAAACTCTATAGCACAAATGGAGAAAGAGTGATTAAAGCAGAGCTCCACCTAAAAGGGGAAGTTCCACTTTAAGGAGGACTGCTCCCCCGCTCCCCATTAAAGATTGGCACCTTTGGGGGGGGGGGGGAGTGGGTACCCGAATTTGACAGGTACCTGCTCCCACTTCTGGTCCGATCGCTTAGGCCAGGGGTCTGCAACCTTTAAGACATAAAGAGCCACTTGGACCCGTTTCCGAGAGGGAAAAAAAAGACTGGGAGCCGCAAAACCATTGCAACATTTAAAAACAAATCCGACACTGCATATATTGCGAAAAGCGCTCTGGTCATGAAGGGGGTTTAAGGGCCCAGTAAGCAAAGGGTTAACCAGGGCCACAGTGTATCGTCATAATCACAATCATAGCCTTAGGTCAGTGGTGGGCAACCTTTTTTTTCAACTGAGCCAAATCTCGCCAAAACCACGATTGAAATTTATTTTGAGAGAAACATTTTTAAAACTGAAAATACATCCCCCATATAGTAATTCATCCCCCATAGTAATTCATCCCCCATATAGTAATTAATTCATCCCCCATAGTAATTCATCCCCCATATAGTAATTCATCCCCCATATAGCTATATAAACTCGTAGTAATAATAATAATATAGTAATACATCCCCCATAGTAATTCATCCCCCATATAGTAATTCATCCCCCCTATAGTATTTCATCCCCCCTATAGTAATTCATCCCCCATATAGTAAATACATCCCCCATATAGTAATACATCCCCCATATAGTAATTCATCCCCCATAGTAATTCATCCCCCATATAGTAATACATCCCCCATATAGTAATTCATCCCCCATATAGTAATACATCCCCCATATAGTAATTCATCCCCCATATAGTAATACATCCCCCATATAGTAATACATCCCCCATATAGTAATTCATCCCCCATAGTAATTCATCCCCCCTATAGTAATTCATTCCCCCTGTGTCAATTCACTTACCTTTGCTCCGCGCGTTCCTCTAGTTGTGTTCCCGCGCCGTTCTGGTCTTCAGGGCGGACTGTGAGAGGAGAGGAGTTCGTCACGCTGCCCCGCCTACATCCTGACAGCCAATGTTTGGAGGAGGGAGGGGAGCGGGCGCCCGGCACATAGAAGAGCTGCATTAAAAGAGCCGCGGCTTGCCGACCCTATTGCCTGTCACCTGGTGGGCAGTGTGCTCCGGAGCCGCAGGAGGTGAAAAAGAGCCGCATGCGGCTCCGGAGCCGCGGGTTGCCGACACCCGGCTTAGGCGATCGGAAGCGGAAAGTGTCCTCCCTCCCTCCCTGTAGTCTTTTGGGACATGTGACAGGTCCCAGAAGACTACAGGACCATTCACGAAGCACAGCGCTACTCGCGCATGCTCAGTGGGTACCCGGCTGTGAAGCTGCAAGCTATCACAGCCAGGTGCCCACGCTGAAGATGCCGGCCTCCTGGAATACAGGATGGCCGGTGAAACGGGCTGCGGGGGACACACCGTGGGACCGAGGGACAGGTGAGTGGCTGTTTTTTTAAAAGTCAGCAGCTACAGTTTTTGTAGCTGCTGACTTTTATTTTTTGATAGGTTGAGTGGAACTCCACTTTAAGTCCCAAGCAAGAAGCCGTAGTCTGTGTGGTAGATCCAGGTGTGTTAATCCACTTCTGTAATGGCTGCAGCTCTTCTCACAGGGTATTGGATATCTCTGTGCACTAAAACAAATAAACAAACAGAAGGCGCCGCCATCTAAGTGTGTCAATTTAATTAAAAACAAGGAAAGGGTTAAAATACATTCACAAGGATGAGAGTAAATGGGCATATCATCAGACTTTGTTCGTTGGCAAGCCACTGTAGCAAATACAGTGTACCCTTTCCACAAGTGCACGCCAAATCTACATTAGGGCTACAGGTCTGGATCATCTAATACTTTTCCCAAAGCCGAAAGGTATAACAAATTGTGTGAACAGGAGAGCTATTGCATCTTCTCGTTGAAAACCCGAACACCCGCAGGGCTCAATGAAGAGATAGTATTGTTTTCTATCATTTATTCTATTGTTTTAAAAATTATATTATATTTAACTACTTGCCCTCCTGAGGATTTATCCCCCCTTCCTAACCAGGCCGTTTCTTGCGTTACGGCGCTGCGTTACTTTAACTGACAATTGCACGGTCATGCAAGGCTGCACCCAAATTAAATTTACGTCCTTTTTTTTCCCCACGAATAGAGCTTACTTTTAGTGGTATTTGATCGCCTGTGCGGTTTTTATGCTTTGCACTATATCCAGTAAAAAAATTTAAACAATCAAATTTCGTCATAAATTTAGGCCAAAATGTATTCTGCAACATGTCTTTGCTAAAAAAAAAATCCTAATACGTGTAAATGAATTGGTTTACATGAAAGTTATAGCATTTACAAATGGCAGCATATATAATGGGATTTTTTATTTTTACTAGTAATGGACTGCGGCAGGCATTTTGACACTGGGGGGAACTGACTTGGTGTCACGGACATCCCCAGTGACACCAATACA